AAGTCAGGCACTGACAGTGCAGGGATGGGGACTGACTATAAAATTAATAATTAATGGGTACAACACACAGCAACCCTCACAGAGGAACAAACCAGCGTGAAACACAGTCTGGCCTTGATTAATGAACGGGGCAAGAGCTTCTCAGGTGGAGCCCAAAGCATGGAGTCACTAAGCCATCATTAGCACTGAGATACAGCTGAATGAGGCCAGTCCACAGGAACCTTCAGCACCTCCTGTCCCCCAGAAACTGTGGCTGCCCCACCCCTGGAAGTGTCCAAGGCCAGGTTGGAGCACCCTGGGCTGGTGGAAGGTGTCCCTGCCCATGGCAGGGGTGGCACTGGATGGGCTTTGAGGTCCCTTCCCACCCAAATCATTCCCTGGCCCATGAGCAGTGGGGTGTTGATCCCCCCTTTCCCTCATCCCTGGCTGGCAGGAGGAGAGGTCAGGGTTGGTGGCACTGAGAGTGGAGGTCGTGCCCTCAGGGATGGCTGAGTGGGGCCACCAAGGAACCTCCAACCTCTCCATTCCCAGGCTGGACTTTGCCAACGTGCCCAGGACAATAAGCTGGACTAGATGGGCTTTAAATTCCCTTTCAACCCAAGCCATTCCAGGATTCATTCCATGATCCCACAAAGATGTTCACTGAACTTGAAAGAAGCCCCTGCTACTGCCTGGGATGGGAGTCTGAGGCTGGCACTGCACTGGGAAGGAAAGAAAGATCTGTCATTCATGGGGCAGACAGAGAAAATCATGTCCCAGTTACAGGGAGACAAATACATGCATTTCCAGTGGATATATGGAATTGAGGAAACGTCACAATTCGCTTTAGGGATTACTGGAAATGCAAAAAGAAAACCAATAATTTAATAGCAATATCAAAGTGGAGGCAGAAAGTCATGTCCTTGACAACTCACTCATCTGTGATGAATAGAAATGAAAGGACATAATTTCCTCCAGTTTTGTGCATTATTTGATAGGCAGAACTGAGGTAATAGAACATAATTGAATTATGCTTTCATTTGTGTGTGTGTGTGCAACCATTTCATTTACAGCCAGGATTCCTTGCAGGAACACAATGCAGATATTCCCAACCATACACAGAATGCACAGTCCCTTTCAAGTCAGAGCAAAGAGAGGAAGCCTTTGAGAGCATCATTCCTGCCCCTTTTTACTCAGGAGAGTTCCAAAAAGGATAATTCTAATTCCCAGATTTTTGAATTAGAATCAGAATCCCGGGATGGTTTGGGTTGGAAGGGACCTTCCCAGCCTGGAATGGGCCCCTCCAGAGCTGTGCTCAGGCTGCAACTCAGCCTGGCTTAAACCAACCACCCCAAAGTCAGGCTTGATCCTGCCTCATCCCAGCCACCCCAAAATCAGGCAGGCTTAAATCCATCCTGGCTCCACCCCAAGTCAGGCAGGATTAGGCTGAACGTGGCTCATCTCAGCCACCCCACCATCGGGTGTGCAGTCTGAGGTCATGGATCTTGTGGAGATCTCACCCCCCCCTAAAGCACAATTCTTGCTTTCCAAAAATAGCTGGGACGAGCTGCTGTTCAACCCCCCCGAGCTGAGCTCTCCCTGACACCTCAGACCAACCCTGCTGCAACAGCAACGGCCTAATTAGTGCATCAGCAACGAGTGGCTAATGAGGAGCTGCCAAGAAAGGCCCCTCAGGGCTGTGGAGGAGCAATCTGGACACAGAGCAAACATCAGCAAGATGTGCCTGGGAAAGGGGACTTCTCAAACTGGGAGGGAGTTTGATGGGAAATCCATGGATCCACACGGTTTTTTAACACCTCCAGAGATGGGGACTCCACCCCTTGGGAATATTTTTCCCAACTTCCCTAATTCCCTTAACACTGTGTTGTCTGAATGACAGGAAACAAAGCAAGTTTATCAGGACAAACTACATCTTGACGGAGGGATTAAAAATGAATTAATCCCTTTTTTAATTTGTTTCTCACGTCCCCCAGACAAAACAGCAGCTTCAGCTGTGATTTCAACAAGCCTTGTCAGGCAGCTGAAAAATCACATATTGAAACCCTCATCTTTCCTGGTAGAAGTTCCTGTGCTGGGTGATTTCATGTTGGAAGCTGCCAAAAATCAGCCTCGATTAATGCATTAAGGATCTCCTGCACTAAAGAGCCTGAACTGGCTGGTAAATTATAAACTAATATAATTTCCAAATGAATCTGTGCCACCAAACCGAGATAAAACTTTGCTTTGCTTTTGCTTATTCATATTAGAACGAGTATTATGAGAAGCCCAGAATTCCAGTGGTTTCATGGGTAAATATCCTGCCTTTTCTCTGACAGTTTGGAACAATGAACGCTCCTGAAAGGATCCATTCATGTTATTATTAGCTCAGAGCTCTCAGATGTGCCATTCAGCCTGAGCTGGGTCTAAAATTACCTTCCCCAGCTCCGAAGATGAGACAGTGACTCACAGGGAGATTGGTGATGGATTTTGGTATCATCTGTCAATGGTTCCTGTTTGACACCCGGCACAGCTATGCTGGGAATAACACATCCATGGATTTCTGCTAAGAGGCACCTCCTGACCAAAGCATTTCCAGGCCCTGGCACAGGTTGCCCAGAGAAGCTGTGGCTGCCCCTGGATCCCTGGGAGTGTCCAAGGCCAGCTTGGAGCACCCTGGGCTGGTGGAAGGTGTCCCTGGGTGGCACTGGATGGTCTTTGAGGTCCCTTCCAACCCAAACCGTCCTGTGATTCCATGAAATGCAGAATAGCCAAATTGCCAGTGATTTTCCATTAGATCCCACGCTTTGCAGCTGAATTTGTAGCCACAGCAATCCCAGTCACTGTGGTGCACTTTGCACCTCACAGACACTCCTGTCTCTCCGTGACGAGCCTCCAGCTCCAAATTAAAAACACATGGACAGGGTAGGACAGCTCTGCACCAAAACAGGATCAACTCCAGGCTCTGATTTTCATTACTCTGGATTTATCTTGGATTCCTCTGGGCTTACAATTTCTGTAATTTCTGTGGAGCTACACCAGGTGACGTTTTACCTCAGAACTTCTGTGTGAGATGAAACCTTATTGAATGAAAGAAGTTTTGTCTCAGAGTCATCAGCACATCAGTCCCTGTCTGGAACGAGCTGTTGCAGTAATCACTGTTCACATCTAATCTTGCCCTTGATGGTTGCAACCAAATTCCTCATGAGCAAGTGTGAACCCGTGTCATTTTTCGGGGCTTGTTTGCTTTGGAAATTACTCCAGCAGAGTAATGCAGCCAGACAACCTTCTCCCAAAATAAACATGACATCTGGAAGGTGGCAATAATTCATTCTTTTAGCAGAATTACCCCACGGCCGCCTGCCCTCAGCAACGGCGAAGTTATCGCTGGGAAAAATGGGAGAGGTGACGATTCCCACGCTCTTCTTGTGGGTGAAGGTGGATGAGATGAGTTACTGCTTGGAGGTTGCTCCCACCTCCCAGCCACACTTCCCTGGGGCAAAGAGGCTTCTGCTCTGAAACCAGAGCAGCTGATGAGGGACAAACCTCACTGCAGGATATGGTTTTTCCCCTGGCAAAATTAATGAGGGACTGAATTAAGGGCTCCCAAATCGTTTTGCCGGGTACCTGCAGAGCCTCCGTAATTCCCAGGCTGTGAACCTGGCTGGGTGGAGCAGTGAGAGCACCACAGGCCTCAAGTCCCTGCTGTCAAATCAGCAATTCAGAAGGAGCTGAAGGCAAATCCTTGGAATCAAAGCCGTGAGGACAGAGATAATGGGAGATGTGTGAGCGCAAATAAAACTCGCCGTTCATCTCCGACATCCTGGGAATGCTGATGCCTCTCCTCTGCTCTGTTCCTCTGCTCCCTGATTTCAGGGCCCTGAGGCAAAACCTGTTAAGGCATAACCCAACCTGACCCAAGCTGAGGCATCCAAATGTTCCAACATTTCCTGCAGAGCTGTTCTCCCAAGCACACTCCTCTGAAATTCCTAATGATTCCGAAATCCAAGCTGAGAACTCTGCTCTGAAGTGTTTCAGGCACTGCAGATCCCGGACACAGAGACCTTAGGACAGTTCAAATCGGTGATTTCCATCTCAGAAATCAGCATTACCAATTATGTTCCTTGGGACTGACCACTGGGATGAGGCTCTCAAGACACAAAACCACAACAAGGGGCAGAGACACAACCAACTCTTTGCTCAGGGAGGGACAAGCCCAAAGAGCGAATTCCCAAGAAATTCCAGAAATAGAAGCAACTTGGCCAGAGATTCTACCTAAATAGTCACCCTTTTGCAAAGCATTTCCACACAAGTGCTTGGACATTCCCATTTGAACTAATTAAATCTGAAATAAAACATTTCTATTTAAATCGATGCACCAAACTGAAGTTTGAGTCAATGTAAGAAGATTTCAAATCAATCTCATGAAAAAATCAATCTTTTAAATCAATGTAAGAATATGAAAAGGTTGTGGTTGTTTTTTTCTTTTCTAGGAAATATTTTTTTGAACAGAAATTGTCAGTTTTCAGCACAGCACAGGAAAGACATGGAAGTGTTGGAGGGATTCCAGGGCAGGTGACAAGGAACGGAGCCAGGCTGGGACAGCTGGGGCTCACCTGGAGAAGAGAAGGATCCAGGGAGACCTGAGAGCCCCTGGCAGGGCCTAAAGGGGCTCCAGGAGAGCTGGAGAGGGACTGGGGACAAGGGATGGAGGGACAGGACACAGGGAATGGCTTCAAACTGGAAAGGGGAAGATTTGGGTGGGATATTGGGAAGGAATTTCTGGCTGGGAGGGTGGGCACGCCCCTGGAATAGAATTCCCAGAGAAGCTGTGGCTGCCCCTGGATCCCTGGAAGTGTCCAAGGCCAGGTTGGAGCAGCCTGGGCTGGTGGAAGGTGTCCCTGCCCATGGCAGGGGAGTTGAAATGGGAAGATCTTCAATGTCCCTTCCCACCCAAACCGTTCCCCGATTCCAAGGCAGCCCCTGGACCTGGTGAGGGGTGAGGGGGCGCTGGGGGAGCCCACCTGTCCTGTTGGAGAGGCGGAAGGACACCATCTTGTCGGGGATGCTGCAGACGTTGCGCACCGAGGCGATGCAGCTGTAGTTGGCGTAGTCCTGAGGCCGCAGGTTCTTCAGCTTCAGGATCTTCGTTTCTCCCTGGGAGAGCAGGACGAGAATTAGGAAGGGGCAGGGGAAGGAGGGGTGAAGGGAACACCCAGACTGGGAAGTTTGGCAGAGGCTTTCGAGTCGCAGCGGGTTTTTTTTGGGATAATTTATTTTAATAAATATTATTTGTAAGAATAAATGAGTAAACTGAAAAAGTCAATAAAATATAAATAAAAATAAGGATTAAAAGAAATTGTAAATAAATTGATTAAATTAGTAATTGGTCAACAAAATAAGTAAAAATAGAAAAATAGAATGAAATAAATGGAACGATAAGAAAAATAATGGAGTGGTAAGTAAAATGAAACAAATTCAAGTGGTAAATGAATTAAATAGAAATGAAAGATAAAAGAAATTAGAAATTACAGAAAATAAAAGGAAAAAGAGAAAGAGAGAAAGAAAGGAAGAAAGAAAAGAGAAAAGAAAGGAAGGAAGAAAGAAAGAAAGGAAGAAAGGAAGAAAGAAAGGTAAATAAAATAAAATGAATAAAAAATAAATTAAAATAAATTAAAAAATGTAATAAAGAAATATATTTCCACAATGCAAAAACCCCCCAAGGTATTAACAGAAATCCTGCTGCTTCCCTTGGAAAACAAGCTGATTTTATTTTCAGCCAGCAGTGTAACCGCAGAGCAGGGCTGTGGAATGCTGGTGTTCCTTCAGCAACATTTGGAAGGAAACTGGACAGTGTGGGATTCCCACTGCAGTGCTCACAGAGCATCAAAAACCGAACTGGGAAAAAAAAAAAAAAAACAATCCTTGAAATCAGGCCTGGGAGACGTCTGGAATGTCGGAACTCAGGTGGTTTCAACCTGTACCCAGTGCCACTGGAATGATAATGATGGGATTAAAGCGAAGCCCCTGTGATTTAATGTTTGCAGTGGAAAGGCTGATCCTGGAGACGAAGATCCTGCCTTAAGGAGGTTTATCTGGGCTAGGGAAGGGCCTGATCCAGGCTGGCAAAGCTCTGGAAGCTCAGGGCAGCCACATCCCAGCAATTCCATCCTCGGCTCCGCTCCCCAAGTCCAACCTGCAGGCTGAGCCCACAATGGAATCCTGGATCGTGTCCCCAGATTGCAGAGATTCATAAAAACCTACGTGTTTTCTTCACTGGTTTGGATAATTAGCCTAATTACGTCTAATTGCATAATTATTGTAAATACAGCAAATTTAATCTCGCACTCAGGCAATTACAATGTGAGACGAGGAGGATGCAGACTCGGAGGGGAAAAAACCTCCACTGAAATTTGGGATTTGGGAAGTTCAGCATTTCCAACACTCCCACAGAGCTGAACCTTCGGGTTTGCTCCCTTTCACCCCCGGGGAGGGGGTGGCACTGGGTGGGTTTTAAGGTCCCTTCCCAACCCAAACCATCCTGGGGTTTTGTGATTGCTGAGACAAGAAAACCATCAGAAAGAACAACTATCCCTTTTCTGGGGGTAAAAAAAAAAATACCTGAGAAATTCTGAGTTACAACTTGTTTCCCTTTCCACCTGATCTGCTTTTCAGATTATAATCCACCTTTAAGCCACTGGAGGAGAAAATTCCATCCCAAATTTGTGTCTCCTGGTGTCAAATCCCCTCCATCCCCCTTTGCATCAGCTCTCACTGCCTGCAACCCCTCTCATTAGCTCAGCTAATTATGCAGAAGATGCTGATGACTCTTGACCCTTTAATTACATCTTTTTCCTCTTACAAACACGGATCAGGCCTTGTCAGCACAGAGACAGGACACACTGATTCAAACTGACCTCCAAGAAAGGCATAAAGGTTATGGATGAGCTTTTAACCAGCAACAGGACAATGTGATTTACTCATTAATTAAGCCCACTCAGAGATTTTAGGAATGATGATCCAAATAACCTGGAAACATTAAAAAAAAAAAATCTAATTTATCTAATTTCACGTGGCACATTTCATCAGATAAATTCTTAGATTTTACGGGGGGCGATAATCAGCATTTCCATGCTGAAATATAAAACAGAAAGTTCCCCCATCCAGAGAGACTCTCACTTTTTAATTAAAACATTTAAAAACTCCACTTTACACACTCGAGTCCCAGCAAACAAGCCACAGATTTTGCTAAACTGGCTCCGTACACGTTAAATTAAAAATAATCTCATTACATGGAGCAGACCAATAACTGGGCTCTGCAATCTAATTCCCATCTCTGCAAGGCTCCAGCTCCACATTTCTCAGGGAAATATGGAGCAATATAAAGCTGTCAAGCACAATAAAGGGGAAAAAAATGAGGGTGCTCTCAAATTATTAGCTGAAAATTATTTATGAAAGTCACAGGTTGCTTTCTGCTCTGAACACCAAATTACCAGGCAGTTTTCACCTCAGTCTTTACTTTTTATTGCTTGAGATTGTTCCAAAACAATTTTTTCTCCTTTTTTTATTTTCTTTTCGCTCTTTTTTTTTTTTTTTTTTTTTTTTTTTTTTTTTTTTTTTTTTTTTTTTTTTTTTTTTTTTTTTTTTTTTTTTTGCTGACACCATCCCACACTTTTGTCCACAGACAATGGGATTTTGCCACCTTTTTATTCTGGGGCTGTGCAAGTGAGTTAACAATGAATTAATCTCATTTGAGCTGACAGAGCCCAGACTGCTTTCGTGGCTGTGAGTGGGAAGAGGAAGGCTTTAAAAATGCATTTATTCCCATTTTTGCCACCTCCCCTTTTCAGGTGGGTAATTCTGGAACAAAAAAAATTTTATTTAAAGATAGGAAAAGCAGAAAAAAAATAATAAGAAACCCACCATTGGGAGTTGCCAAAGAGTTTAGGATTATGGAATCATTAAGGGTGGGAAAGACCTTTAGGATCATCAAGTCAGCACCGCTAAAATATGTCCCCAAGTGCCACCTCCACAGGTTTTATGAGCATTTCCAGGGGTGGGGACTCCACCACTGCCCTGGGCAGCCTGTCCCAATGCCTTCCAACTCTTTCCAAGAAAAACATTTCCCTGATATTTAATCTCAACCTCCCCTGGCCTTCCCAAAAAGCTTTTTGGGCTGTAACTTCTGTGTGTGTGGAATCAGCCTGTTGGGTTGGGAAGGATCGGAAATCAGGAGTCAAATCAGAGGTCTGGGCTTGCAACCTCCAGGAAAAACCACTTTAAAAGGTGATTTTTTTTTTAAAAGGAAGCTCTCACAGCTTCCTATTTCATAATTTTATATTAAAAAAAAATTTTTACAAAATAATAGAACCATATTTTATCTTAGGAATTCTTTTAACAACAACCGGCCGCGTTCGGTCGGGATGTCACGACTTAGCGGCCGCCCCCACATTCCCACCCCGCAATCCAGGCAGGGATCTGCGGGCAGATCCTTTCCCACAGCCTAAAGGAGGCCAAAATTCCCTCTTGGGATAATCCTACCTGGGTAAAGAAGGGCTCGTAGATCTCCACCCCTTTGTCGGAGCCCTGCAGCAGCACCTCCTGCCCGCGGCGCCAGCTGTACCGCACGGGCGGGTTGGAGTTGGCCACACACCTGAGGAACACGGTTTTCTCATAGTAAAACTGCTCCTTGGCCTCCCCAATGCTCTGGTGGACTGTCACTATCGGGTCATCCAAATCTGGGGAAAAAACAGGAAGAAAAAGCAACATAAAGTCAGGTTTTGGTAGAGTCTCCGACAGGAAGCGCGTGCGTTGCGCTGGGTACGAGCCAAGGGCAAACAGAGGCAACAGGTTAGATTTCCCTCTTAGAAACACAGCTCCACGAGTCACAAAGTTTAGGGATTTTGCAGCAAAATTCAGGTTTGGAGTTTGTTTTAATTTGGAGTTTTAAATTTCATTTCTCAGCAAGAAAAAGTAAGGTAAAGTCAGGCTTTGGTTGAGCCTTTTAAATGGGAATCATTTGTGTCGCGTCGTGTTCAAGGCCAGAATAAACAGAAGCAACGTTGTTCCATGAGCCACAAATTTTAGGGGTTTCACAGCAAAATTCAGTTTGGGAGCTTGTTTTCATGTGGAGTTTTAAATTTCATTTCTCAGGAAGAAAAAGCAAGATAAAGTCAGGCTTTAGCTGAGTCTGTGATGGGAGGCATCATGTTCAAGTCCAGAATAAACAGAAGCAACGTTGCTCCATGAGCCATGAATTTTAGGGGTTTCACAGCAAAATTCAATTTAGGAGCTTGTTTTCATGTGGGTTTTTAAATTTAATTTCATTTTCTTTCAGGAAGACAAAGCAAGATAAAGTCAGGCTTTAGTTGAGTCTACGACATGAAGCGTGTGCGTCACATTGTGTAGAAGCCAACAGCAAAAAAGAGGAAAAACAGTCCCATGAGCCACAAATTTTAGGGATTTTGCAGCAAAATTCAAGTTTAGAGCTTGTTTTCATGGGGAGTTTTAAATTTCATTTGATTTTCTTTCAGGAAGACAAAGCAAGATGAAGTCAGGCTTAGTTGAGTCTCCGATGGGAAGCCCATGGATGCAAATCAAGAGCAAAACAGAGGCAACACAGCCACAGATTTTAGGGATTTTGCAGCAAAATTCAGTTCGGGAGGTTGTTTTAATTTGCAGGTTTAAACTCCATTTTAACCTCCCCTTTTGAAACTCCAGTGGAATGGAGCTGCATTTCCCACTCACAGTTTTTAGGCACAGCATCCTCTCCGATGCCACACGGGATAATGCCAATCATATTTTTATTATGTTTCCATTACTCCTTCGGTTTCAGCTGCTTTTTCAGCTTTACTACTTGTTTCTTTTATGCCTTTCAGACGAAATTACGGAGCTTTGGAAATAAATAGACAGCCTGATTTGCATCCTAATGGCAGGAGCCACCAGTGCATAGATCATGTGCACGCAGCTGTTTTTCCTTTAAAGCTGCAGTTTAATACAGCAATTTAATGCACATTCCCTTCTTTTAGTTACAGGCATTTAACTTCCAGCAGGTAAATTCATCACAGGCTTTAGAACACACTCCTCTTGATTAAAATACAGATATCATATAATTACTCCCACTGCAGCAGCAGCTCCAAGGAAATGAGAGCCCCCCCTCCACCCTCCACCTCAGAATTCCTGTATGGAGGGAAGGAACAACGATAGGCCTTGGAATGTGAGGGCACCAAGGTGAGTAATTTGGGCTTTATTCCACCAGGAGTGAGTAGAATCCTCTCAGCTGGATGGTTATTTCGGGCTTTGTCGGAAGGGACAGTTACAATAAGGAAGGAAAATCAAGCACAACAAGGAAGATTAAACACAGCGATGGATATTTTTCCTGAATGTTGGTTGAAAGCACTCAACCTCCAAATGGCCACTCAGTTCCTTCCCAATATCCCTCTGGCAGTCAGAAGCCACTCCCTGTGTCCTGTCCCTCCATCCCTTGTCCCCAGTCCCTCTCCAGCTCTCCTGGAGCCCCTTTAGGCCCTGCAAGGGGCTCTCAGGTCTCCCTGGACCCTTCTCTGCTCCAGGGGAACCCACATTCCCACTCAGCCTTGACTGAAATCATATCAGAACCTTTTCCCCCTAAGATTTCCACAATGCTTTGAGTAGGGATTAATTCATCACTCAGCCACAAATTCAACCCCAGTTTTGCCAAGCCCTGTGTGAGTAACAAACGAGAGGACAATTCACCAGCTTGATCTGAGGCCACGACTGAGGGAAATGCAGAACAAGGGGCTCCAATCATCACGTGAGCACTGCTGACAAGGGGAACCCACGCCCCCCAGTCCCTCATTAAAGGTGGGCAATCATGGAATCACAGAATTGATAAGGCTGGAAAAGCCCTCCAGGATCACCCAGCCCAACCATCAACCCACCACCACCACCAAACCACGTCCCCCAAGTGCCACATCCACGTGCCTTTCCAACACTCCCAGTGACTCCACCACTGCCATGGGCACCTTGTTCCAATGCTTAACAGCCCTTTCCATGGAGAAATTTCCCCAAGATCCAATTTAAACCTCTCCTGGTGGAACTGGAGGCAGTTTCCTCTCCTCCCTGACAGCAAGGACAGTTGTTTTTGGGGCAGCATCCCATGCATGTTGCTGAACCCCTGCTGGAACCCCCCCCCAGTGTGTTTTGTGTGAGGTGTCCATGGGTGTGGCAGTTCTTACAACATTTGGGATTTTGTCCCTTCCCAAGAACTGGGAGCCCCGTGGGATTAAGGGAAAACCACAGTTAACAAACTGAAGAGCTTGGGAGTGTATCAAAACCCCCAGTGAAAAGCAGTTTGCACCTAAAAATCAGTCCTGAGCTGCTCCACTCGGATTTGCATAACAAGGGCAAAGCCTCTTGGTTAATTTAGAAGCAAAACATGTTCCAAATTTTGCAGTAATTGAAGCAATGATACCTTGTAATGGGGCACAGATTTTAAGTAAATGTTACCCTCGTCCTACCCAACAAAACATTTAATTTCATATCACAGGAGCAAATTGTGGAACTGCTGCTCCAAATTAGGCTGACATTTCCTAATGAGATGGCAGGGTTGGTTTAAAGGTTATTTGAAATCCCAGCAGCTTTGGAAAAAGGGGGGTTCAGTCTTCTACTCATGCAGGAGGAAATAAAAAGGAGCAGATTAAGTGGCTGGGATTTTTAGGGCAAAGCACCTGTTTCCCTGGATTTTTTGATGGGAACAGAAGGTTTCTCAAAGGAAGGATTTTCAGGCTATGCTTGGGTGGCAGGAAAGGGATATTAAGGATCATCCAATTCCCCCCCAGTTCCTGTTGCTCCAACCTGGCCTTGGACACTTCCAGGGATCCAGGGGCAGCCACAGCTTCTCTGGGCAACCTGTGCCAGGGCCTACCCACCCTCCCAGCCAGCAATTCCTTCCCAATATCCCATCTAAAGGAGTTTGAAGCCATTCCCTGTGTCCTGTCCCTCCATCCCTCATCCCAAGTCCCTCTCCAGCTGATCCAACCCTGGCAGGGAGAAGCAGGCCCTGTGCTCTGCCAGGGGATGGATTTGGGTGAGGGCAGAAGGAAACCTCAAAGCATTCCAGGCTGGGAATCCAACTGCAGCAAAAGCCTCTGCCAAAGCATTTCATAATGGTCAATTCATGGAAAATTCGCACTGCAGAACTGGATGGAATATTTTTCCATCCCAAGTGCTGGAAAAATCCCGGCAGCTGCGGCAAAGCAAGAGGAGCAGCAGGAACAGGAGGCAAAATAACCCTGCCAGTTGTTGGGAGATCTCACTGATCCTGCCCCGTGTTGGGCAGGGCCAGGCAAAGGTTTCAAGGGGCTCTTACATAAGGCTGAGCTTTGCTCAGGCACAGCGAGGGCTGAAAGGTGTAACAAGCATTAAAAAAAAAAAAAAGAACAACATTAAAAAGATGTTTTCTGGATCACAGCGCCAAGGAAGAGATCACAGTGGAGGCATGAAACTCCCAAATTCCCTGCTTTTAGCCACCTGATCCCTGGGGGAAGCTCTGCAGAGCTCCCGTTCCTGTGGCTGAATGAATTGTTACTAATTGAGATTCAACTTTATAAAGAGATTTTTATAAAACTATTTAAAGCTCTGTGGTCCAACAGCACAAGGACGAGGAGAGAGTCCAGAGGAAATCATGGAGATGCTGCCAGGGCTGGAGCCCCTCTGCTCTGGAGCCAGGCTGGGACAGCTGGGGGGTTCACTTGGAGAAGAGAAGGATCCAGGGAGACCTGAGAGCCCCTTGCAGGGCCTAAAGGGGCTCCAGGAGAGCTGGAGAGGGACTGGGGACAAGGCATGGAGGGACAGGACACGGGGGATGGCCTTAAACTAAAAGAAGGGAGATTTAGGTGGGATATTGGGAAGGAGTTGCTGGCTGGGAGGGTGGGCAGGCCCTGGAATAGAATTCCCAGAGAAGCTGTGGCTGCCCCTGGATCCCTGGAAGTGTCCAAGGCCAGGTTGGAGCAGCCTGGGCTGGTGGAAGGTGTCCCTGCCCATGGCAGGGGGTGGGATGGGATGATCTCTGAAGTCCTTTCCAAGCCAAACCATTCCAGAATTGAATCACTTCCAACCCTGCACAAAAATAACGCTGTGAGAAGGAAATAGAAAGATTTAGAATTTGGAAACTCAACAAGATGAATCACTGTAGTGCTTCACAAGAAGGAAAAAAATTTAAAAATAAAAAAAATCCCCAAATTTTCATTTTGGGTTGATCAAATTATGAGGAGTCAACTGACTAATCACTCTTTAAATTAAACTGAAGTCATGGGTGTTGCTACATAGTTAAAGCCTATTAATCAAAATGAAAATAATTACAGAAATATGTTTTCCACTGAGGTTTCTGCCACCATTAGGTTCAATTTTTCAGTCTTTAGACTCGGAATTGAACCAAACAGCTTCCAACACCCAGATGGCACAGGCATGCCGAGCTCTGCACTGCAAGAATTCCCTGCACACATCCCTGAGCTCCCAAAAAAACCCACCCAATCCAGGCTGAGGAGATCAGAAGTGTTATCTGGGAGTAGGAAACATGGACCATCTCCCACAGGATGGCCTGGGATGGTGGAAGGGATGGTGGGAATTCAGGGTTGAGGAAAAGCAGCATTCCAACTGCAGGCTTGTTCTGGCCAAGCAAGTCTGACCCTGGTCTTTTAGGGAAGTGGCATCAGAGATGGAAAAAAGGGTTTTTCCTGGATGGCTCCCAACTCAGGTT